AGTCCCGGAACAAGCGGACTCGTCCTGCATCTCTTCACCTTGTCCCCTGAATGTTTCCAGTAACTCCCAGCCTCATGATGGATTGTATTCATATGGTCATGCATTCTTTTCGAAGTGCTTTCGCACCTGCTCTGACATTTAATCATAAAGAGGGAGGGGTGTATGTGTGCACGTGTGCGCTTACACACGCACTGCATTTAGAAAGAGTCGTCAAGTACTTCCTAGATTTCTCCTGTCCTCTCTGCCATTTAAAGACTAGTTTTGTTACTATTTGGGCTGAAAACCACACTCATCTCTAAAAGCCTTCTGCCTGTTCCTACCTGGAACCTCACACCTCAGTTGTAATTTTCAGCTTGTTTCTTGGGGACTCACTAGGGTCCCATTCTTTCTCTGGGACCTTGTGAGACTATCACTGACCTCTATGTACAAGCATGTTTTGGCCCCAGACAGGGTGTTGCTTCTGGGACTAGATCAGTCTACCTATGGGGGACCTGGCTCCACCCCAGTCCTTCTATGTCATCCTCCATAATTTTGGCATCTCCCCAATGCTGCCACTCTCTTGTGTCCTCTGTCCCTGCTTCTCCACATTGATCCAAGTCTTCCTACCACCATCCTTAGGAAGAAAGTCACTAGAAAGACCCAGGCTTAGTTCCATCATTTGCTAAGTATGGGACCTTGGGAAAAGCAGCAAACATTCTCATCACCAGGCTCAATTTCCTCATCTGCAAAGTGGCATAATAACACCTACCCTGGCAGAGTTGCTGTGAAGGCCAAATGCGCAAAGTGAGAGTGCTTTTACAGACACAAGTTGTCACTGTTATCCACGCAACCCGGACTTGCCACATAAAAGGAAAGCTCCTGAGGACAGGGACTCTTTCTTCATCTTGCTGAGCCCAGGGTCTGACACAAAATGGTCCTCCACAGACACTGGAATATGTGGCTACCGGTGAGGTCAGAGAAGAGGATCGGAGCCCAAACAGAGCAAGACAGCTGGAAGTGTTGGAGGACACAGGACTGAAAGGGAAATGGAAAAAAGGGACCGGGGAGGGCCCGGGGGCCAGCGTGGGGAGAGAGCGAGCTGGGTGCTGAGGAAGCCTACACAGAACTGCAGGATGTGGAAACAGATGGAGACACTTCTGCAAAGCAGAGCTGTGCACACATCCTTTAAAATTCAGTCCTTAGAGACCATCCAGTCCAAACCTCCCCTTTATGGGGAGGAAGATTAAAGGTCCGTGTGGGGAACACTTGCCTAAATAATATGCAGGGAGTTCCTGGCAGACCCAAGATAAAAACCTGATGCAGTTAGACAGGCCGGAGTTTGATTCCTGGTTATAAGCTGTGTGATTTGGGGCAAGTTAGTTTTTCACTCTGAGCCACAATTTCCTCATCAGTAAAAATGGGGACAGTAATGTCTCTATCTCGTAGGCTCACTGTGAGAACTGAATGAGGTGGTGTACACAAAGCTGCGGGAGGAGGCTCTGTAAATGCGACTGGTCTTCCCTTCCTTCCTCCTGAGCGCTCTACTGTTCGTCCGCTGTGATGGAGGCTACCACGGGACCGACGTGGTCAGAAGGCATAGGTCAGCTTCACTGGCACGTGGGGGTGCCTCGTTACAGACCTGGGGACGTTTAAAATGTGGGTAAGGCTGTATTTTCATCCACCACTTGATTGAGAAGAGGAAAAAATTATTGTCAGCCTCAAGAGTGGAGGAAAAGTAACAACAGGTAGAGAGGAAATAGAAAGGACAGAAAAGCTGATAGTTCAGAAATCTAGAAAGAATTTGGCTTCAGTCCTGGGAGGGGGAGTGTGGAAAGGGCATCGGACAAGGGCCCGGAGCCTTGCCTGGTCCCTAGCGCTGCCACAAGGACCCTGAGGTCTTGGGCAGTTTATTCTCTGTGCCGTAGCTTCCTCACTGGCCACGGCCAGGGACGGTTGAGCTGCCGGCCAGGTCTCCAGCAACCAGGAGGTCTGTCTGAGCCTGACACGCCCTCCCTCCTTCACATTCCTGGCTAATGTGGATGGGGAAACTCACTTCCCTTTCCCAGTGGCTCCCCTTGCGCCCCGTGGGGATTTTACACAGCACAGAGGGTACTCTCAGGGAGCTGGGGCTTTCTAAGTCACCTTTGTTTCTAGTTCCCTTAAAACCCAGAGACAAACCACCTCTTAATGCAGGTGCTGCTGGGAAGGCCAATCTGTCTTTTAAAAATCCAAAGGAAGCCATTAAACCACGCTGGTAACCATTGTGACTCATAATAAGCTTTCCTCTGTAAAAAATGAGTCAGAACGACTTTCCAGGAAGTTTGGTTACTTTAATTAGCTACTTCTTTTTTCTTGCCCTTAAAAACATGCAGTAATTTGAGGATCACCTAAGTATCGATGCTATCAGCCACGGAGCCCCGACTTGAAAGATCTAGTCACGGTGGAGAGCCAGGCAGCATAGACGTTCCAGATAGCACTGTCTCTTGGGAGCTCAGGGGGACCCACACGGAATCCTTTCCTGAATGGCAAAGGGACAAAACCAACCGGGCCTGATCCATCTGGCCTGAGTGAAGGGGAGCCTTCCCTAGCTACCTGTGGCCCAGAAGTGCTCAGAGGTGATGGCCACTCCACACGATTACAGAACCACAGAATTCCAATGATGCCATTAGAAATAATGACGATCACAGTTGCCACGTGCCAAGCACTGTGTTTAGGGCTCTAGACATCATCTCGAGTAACTCTCACCCTGCTAAGTTGGGCATTAAATTTCCCCCTTTACAAAAGAGACAAGAATAAATTATCAGGTCACACAGCCAGTAAGCAGTAGAGCTATGAATTTTATCCCAGGTCTGTTTGATTCTAAATCTATACTTGTCGGCTGGATGCGGTGGCTAATGCCTGTAATCCTAGCACTCTGGGAGGCTGAGGCAGGAGGATTGCTTGAGTTCAGGAGTTCAAGACCAGCCTGAGCAAGAGCGAGACCCTGTCTCTACTAAATATAGAAAAAATTAGCCAGGCATGGTGGTGCATGCCTGTAGTCCCAGCTACTTGGGAGGCTGAGACAGGAGGATCCCTTGAGCCCAGGACTTTGAGGTTGCTGTGAGCTAGGCTGAAGCCACGGCACTCTAGTCCAGGCAATAGAGTGAGACGCTGTCTCAAAATAAATAAATAAATCAATCTATACTTTTCAAAAGTCATCTGTTCCTGCCTTCTAGGAAGGCAAAGTGGCTAGTCTAAGGCCACATAATGAATTGGTAGTAACCCTACATGAGTGACAGATTCCAAAGGTCCAAGTTTATGTCTGGATCCTTTCTCCCTTAACCTACTCGGTACGTAGCTTCCATGGTCTCCAGATAGGAGACCAGAATTTGCTCGGAGTGTCTATAACACACCTTCCTAACCCTGCCAAGATCTGAACTCTCTCCCTTTCCTGGCCCACCTTGCAATGTTCTGTGCAGCTCACTCTCACTCCCAGCGCTATGGCCTGACTTGGTCGTGGTAACTAACAACAGAGTGCCAGTGCAAACTGGTTACGTGTGGTCTTCTGCCCATGTGGACACTCTTGGCTGTGTCCCCACACACCTGGGGCAATAGGGCCCAGGTGAACAGAGTTGGCTCCAGCTTGCTCCAGGAAAGGGCAACCCAACTTCTTCGGATTGTGGCTCCTGGACTCTGATTTTTCTCTAAGGAAGAATGTCAGTGTGAGGACTGTGCCCATCACTCTCCAGCTGAACTAACTTTAAGGCCTTGCTTAGGTTTTTGAAATTAAAAGAAATTTTCTTCTTAGCTGGGAAGTTCAGGTGCCCCCACTTCAAAGACCCTTAATAAAACATACTCAGCTAATAAATCAAGTGAAACATGCATGTCACTGGCCCACAGTCTCCCCAGTTCGCTGTCTCTACACACAAAGCGAAATATAGACTGTAGCTCTATGCATATTGCTACCCGTGCAAGTAGATGCTGTTTCAACATTAAATTGGGAAGCAGAAAAATGTGTGGTAAACACATTCTGCAGAAGCCTCCCCTCCCAAGACCTCCAATTATCTTGTTCTTGGTCCTGAGTGTTTTAGCTTCAAGAATGGAACTAGGTGGTGGCTTTCACCTATAATCCCAGCACTTTGGGAGGCTGGGGCAGGAGGATTGCTTGAGCCCAGGAGTTCGAGGTTTCAGCAAGCTATAATCTCGCCACTGCACTCCAGCCTGGGTGAAAAAGTGACACCCTTGGGAAAAAAAAACAATGGAACTAGACTGCTCTAGAAGACTTGAAAAAGACTTTAGCTCTGGGGGACATCGATTCTCTTCCACTTCTAATTTCTATGTCTCTAATGATCCAGATGAAAGACTAATTGAGGTCTAGTTGGGATGCTATTAAAGTTATTTGGTGGTGTTACAATTTATACTCATCTTTCTTTAAGTTCTTTTTAATTATATGGAGCTTTCAAAGCAAGGCTTAGACTGTAGAGGTCAAAATAAAGAGCTGTGAAACTTTCTTCTCAATTCTTTTCTAACCCCTTTCTCTCCTTTACAAAGCAAAGTCATGTCCAGGCACCAAGCCTTCTTCTCTAAACCTACATACCACCCACATGCACATTATTTGAAAGGGGAACCTTTGCACACAGTCCTCTTTGGTTAGTTCCTTGAGTAGGACTGTTGACATATCTGGGGCTCAAAGACCCTGGTCCCCACCTACTGAAGACAGGCTCTGCCTCTGTCAATCCAGAGAAGCTGGGAACACAGCTGCTCTTGAACTTTTTTATTTTTGGTTTTGTTTTTAAGGATCTGGCCCCTTCCTACCCTAGTTCCAGAGGTTTTGTTTTGCTGTAGACCAATATCTACTGTTCAAATGTTCCAGGGTCATATCCCACATCTCCAGGGAATTCTCTTAGTTACTAACACCCAGCTTCTGGGTCTGACTGGCTGAAAGACCAAACAAGAAGAGGTAGCACATTGTTCAACAATTTCCAACAACTCTCCCCCATCCCTGCTTTCCTGTTCCATTTTCCAGAAGAGAAGACCCTTACCTGGCTCCACTTGGCCAAGAGTGCTGCGAGCATCCGTGGAATCTGCTACATCCCCACTCATCTTGATATCTGCAGGGAAAACACAACTGATTTTAATAACAGGTCACAATTTTTTCTGCTATGACATATGTGGCTTTAACTAAACAGCAAAGATGAATGTGTAATTACAACAACCATCAGACTTTCAAATTCCTGATTCCCGAACATACAACCATTAGAATATTCATAAGCGTGGGGGCACGTATCCCCTCCTCCTGCGCTCGCCTGCTCTCCTCGCCTTTCTTTCCCCTTTCTCCAGTGCCACTGCAGGGGCTGTCATCTTCTGCATCATTCATTGCCACTTCCTTCTATCATCGGGATTCAGCCGGTAAAAATTTAACAAGGGGAGGAGTGGGGGGAACACCTCCCATTCCCAACCTTCATTTCCTTTGGGGTTTGGGAATTTATTTTTTTAAAAACTAGCATAAAAATTATCCCTCTTCTTCTCCCCAGCTCTGTGCCCCATAATAACCCTGTCCTGGAAGGCAAGAGGACCCTTAAACCAAGGCTTGCCCTTCTCGCCTTTCTTCCTCAGTTCCTGCCTCGGCTCTGTGTGGTTCTCAGAGGTCAGTCCCCTGGCTGGGGATCAAACCCTAGCTCCCGTGTCACTCTCCTTGGATATCCTGTCCTTTGGGGATCCTTACCTTCTCTCCTACTCCTTCAACTTGCTCAGTGACAAAGGGATGGCAGCGGGTCAGTGCCCTGCAGAAAGAGAATCCCTACCCCAGGCCCCAGTCTCAGCGCCCAAGTGCCGCTGGGCTGGCCTCTCTGCCCTGCTTCATTTCAATAAATTAAACATTTACCCTTAACAGACAGCTGCCACCACCTATAAGGCCCCTAAGTCTCCTCTGGGGTCAGCCAAGGGAAGGAAAGAGGCAACTTTGAACTAACTCACTCTCTCTCAGCTTCTCTCCTTATTAAACCACCCAAAGACTGAAGTGTTAAAGACAGAAGAATATTTTATTCAAATTATGTTGACCCCCCTCTCAAACCTCCCCTTCTCTGGGGCAGCACTTTAACTCTTTCAAACCAGATAAAGTCTTGGTGAGCCAATTTGCATGCTTGGCTCCCCAGCCAATCGCAGTCAAGCAGGCAGTCTTAATTTGCATCAGGTAATCAGGCAGTTAGCAGCCTGGACGCCGAGGTGTAGAGATGATCAGGATGCGGGAATGGGTGGACCTCCTCTGCCCCAGGAAAAGTGGGTAGAAAACTTTTTAAAAAATTTTTTTAGGGCAATGATATGTGTGGCTCCAGCAGAGATTTATTCCTCTAGGTTACAGTGGCTGCAGCTCCAAGCAAGACAGAGATGGGGAGTTCAAAGACTTAGAAGTAGGGCAGGGTATGAAGCAACCTTAGGAGCCACTGTGGTTTGAGGAATTTTTTGAGACTGGCCAAAGGGAAGGAAGACTCCTCTGTAAATGCTTGGAGGTCTGTGGAGCCTTCCCCAGACAATCCACACTGCACCGCGTGGTCAAAGAGCTCTAGGGGAGACTCAGCAACCCTATCCCGCCACCCCTCCCAGTGCGCTGCATTTAGAAAAGCATCTCTTGAGCCTAACCCCAGTCGTTCCTGCTGCAGTTTCAAACTTTCTGTAGAGTCTGCCGTGCATGAATGTGCCGAATAACTAGTGTGGCCACCTGCACACATTTGCAAAGGGCCTCTGCCACTGCTGGCCTTCTGCTCGAGTGGAGAAGTGGGGTCTCCTTCGTCCCACCCAAGAAGTACCACCTCTGGAGCCGGGCATTGCCTAACGCAGACCTGCTCTGCTCACGCTTCACCACAGCGATTCTCCAACAGTGCTGAGAAAAGCCCTCAGTCAGAGACTGCCGGGAGGGTGTGGAGGAAGTTCTCCCCTCTGGTGGTTTTAGCCTGCTTCACTAGCACTGGAATTCAGAGAATGGGTTTTGGCGTCAGACAAACCAGGATTAATCTCAGTGCCATCACTAACTAGCTGGGGGACCCTAGCTACACATTTGAATGTGAATGTTTTACCTAAAAAATGGGAATAATGATACATGTTTCCCAGGATTATTGTGAGGATTAAATGAAATACTAAATGGAAACTGCCTGGCACAGTTCCAGGCACAAAATAAGCACCTGCTAAACGAACTAATTAAACAGACACTTAGGCTTAGATACTGGTCCCCTTCCCCTCCTGCCCCCTTCTCACGCCTTTCCTTGAACCCCTTCGCCCATTATAAGGGACAGCTTTGGTCTCAGTGCCATTGTAATTTGCCCTTTCCCTGGGAGCCATTAGCAGTCTCCAAATTCTGACTCCGTAGGAAAAGCGTTCATGGGGACAGGAAAAAGGTTAAGAGGCAGTGAGGCTGGGAGGATGATCAGTCTCCGAGTCAACTTATTTCAAACTCCCGACATTTCAGAAGGTAACTCTTTAGCTAAACTGTGATTTTATGCCTGGAACCCAAATTCTCCTTCAACACCCCTTTCTTACATTACCTTTAAATACACCCAGAAGTCATCTCATTCATCCTTTAAATTAGCTTGAAACTTATCTCAGTCATGTCTAAAAATAACTTTTGAAAGAGCCAAAGTTCCCCCCACTGTGCCATGACGTCTACTCATTTGATGTACCCATTATGGGAACAACGCAGTGACACTTTAGGATTGGACAGGGATTTGAGCCTACATGGAGGGGCAGGGAGAGATGACCTGTAAAGCTTCTTGAGTAGTCCCACAGGATGCTAAGACACCGAGAACCTGTTCCTGTGGGTAGGAGGCTGAGACTGATGGGTGGGACGAGCTCTTGGGTCTCAGCCTAAAAATGGGCCAACACCGAAACTCCTCAAGACGCTGTAACCCTTCACCTGTCGGACAGCACTTGCCAGGGGTGAGTGAGAGAGGTATGGGGTGGGGCCGGGCTTCTCTGTGTCCTTATCTCAGCCAGCGACTGAGTAGGCTTCTTGCCATCACTCCCTTCCCTGGGGAGGCTCAACTGCTCTGTGTAAGAGCCCAGACACCAGACGCAGACCTTCATCTGCCTCACTTGGCGCCATCACACCCTGAAGCTGGCCTTGTCCTCCTTGGGCCTTGGCATGACCGGGAGCAGCCCTCCTTAAACGTCTGCAATCTGCCGGGAGGAAAGCCCACGAGGCAGCTCTTCCCCCAGGGTGCAGGCTGAGTGTCCACAGTGTCCTGGACCTCTGGGGTCCAGACTACTCTGGGAAAGCAGAGGCCCCACCCCCCTCTCTCCTAGTGTCCATGTTTATGTCCTAGAAGGGACTGGAGCTCCCTCTTGGGTCCTCCCTCCCATACCTGCTGATGGGAGCACTTCTACCAAGGGACTTCAAGGGACCCACCAGTCCCACTTCTGGGCTAGCCAAGGCTCCAGCTCTCCCCCAGAGAAGACTCTGTCATCTCTTCTTTTCCCTCTCACAATCAGGCCTTCCAAACCAATGGCATTCCTGAGCTCTGACTGGCATCAGTCTGTGAGACTCAACCCTTCTTTCCTAACCCTGGTGGGGAGTAGCTCAGACTGAGGAGAAGGGCAGAGAAAGAGACACCCTGCGGCAAACCAGGTGTTCCCCGCTCCAGCTGGCTTCCTACTGCTCTCCTTGGGCTCTTCTCTCCCTGCCCGGCCAGCTGACTCTCATCTGCTCCTCTGCCTGTCATTAGCCTGGGAATGAGGGGCCTCTCCTTGGGCGGGGAGCCCCCGTGTCTGGTGACCTGCTCAGATCTTCGTGCTCCCATGTGAGCTGAGCGATGCTCTATAAAGTACAAAGCGCTGGGGTTCCAGGCAGACCTGAATCATGGCCTGCGCCCAGGTTATCAGAGCAAAAAGATGGGGCTGGCTCAGGGGATGCAGTGCTAGTGGAGCCCTCTGAATGGGGGACCCAGGGGCAAGCCTGCGCCCTAATTTGTGTGCATCTATTCCTCCTCCTTCCCCCACCCGAACTGTTCCAGCAAATCAACTGAGGAGGAGTCCCGAAGGGCCCAGGACTGGGAACTCACAGGAGAAGTGCTATTTATCAAGAATCAGCAGGATTTGGATTACTGTAGGGAGAAAACAGGACTCGAAAAAGACCAAGTTTCTGCAAAGAGCATCCTGGACTAAGGGATCCTAGAGAGGGGCCCATGATGAGACACTCTATCCAGGGAAGAGGGACCCTCCCTCGCAGACCCCACAGCAGGGCCCCACACTGAAAAGACCCTACAAAAACGACCTTGAACTGAAAAGTCCAGCCAGAGGACCCAGCAAAGAGAACCCTTTAACAGAGACCCAGTCAAAGAGACTCCACAGAAAGTCCCAAACTGGGAGACCATTTGGACGTACCACTGAAGGGGAACCAGATACCACAGATGGCCCAGACATCCCTGAGGGGAGACAGACTCAAGAGATCAGCTGGGGAGGGGCAGCAGGCAGATGCAGAGAGGGGTGGATCAGGAATCCACCCCAAGGTAGATGGAGACCCCACCCTCAGGAGTAACCCCACCTAGGGTTTAGCTCAATCTCCCCCTGCCCACACAATGGGGTGGAGGAGGTGCCTGGGCTTCTGAGAAGCAGCAGCCAGGGGCTCACTCCAGGGGAATGCATGGGGGGGGGGTTGGCTCTCCCTCCTCAACCCATCCCCTCCTGCTCTCTGCTACATCCTCCAAGCCCCTAGGGCTTAGGCTGCTTCCCTGCCGGGCCCCAACAGTCCCACCTCCTCCCACTTCCCCCAGAGCAGGAGCCTCCAGCAGACAAGGAGGTGGAAAACCCCCAGGAAGTCTCTGATCTTGGTCCTAAAGAACTTTCCACCCACTGCCGGGGTCCATCCTTCTGAAGAGTCTTGCTCCCGTTTGAACTCTGGCCTCTTTGGTGGGAAGTGAAGGAAGGGGAGCACCCGCAGCCCTTGCCCACCACGCACTGAGCCTACTGCACCTCCAAGACCCACAGAGCATGTGGGTGGGCACACCTTGCACACATACAGACACACCTGGAACACACGTGCAGATATCTTCAGTCCCCACAACATGCCACCTCTGGGGTCTGCTCCACCACCTCTCCCAACACACATGGGCACAGGCAGACACACCTCTGACACACAGGGACGCATGCTTGCACAAGCCCTAATCAATACACGGCATGGCACCTGCCCCAGGTGTGCCTCTGTAATCGCCCCACCCCGCCCGCTTCTGCTAAGCCCCCCTCCCCTGACATAAATGCCCACTTCGCCTCCATTCCACACATTTGCCTGGACACCAAACACGTAACATGTGGATACACGTATTTTCCTCACTTATGCACTCCCAGGTCCACACCCCTGGCTGAGAGAGTGAACCACCCATCTCCTGCAACCTCCTGAGACTGCAGCAGTTTAGCACACCCAGGTCCTACACAACTGCTACTGCCCAGATCAGGGGTTTTAGAACCCCTCCCCACCCCCACATCAGCCCTCACCCTCATTCTTTTCCAAGGTTTCTTATACCAGACTGCGTCCCTTTAGTCCCCCAAATCCCCGTGCCTGCCCACGACGACCCGCTATCCACACCGCCCTCTCCTGGCCGCTGGGGAAAAAAGTCCCCCGGCCCTCCCAGAACGGTGTCCCTCTCCTTCGCCCCTTCCCGCGCTCAGTGACACCTGTCAGAGCTCATTCCCTCCGCCCCTCACCTGTGTGCATGGGCTCCAGATTCACCATCCTGCCCCAGGCGGGGCCAAAGCCAGAGCCCCCCCAGGTCCCGCGTGTCTGCCCCAGCCGGGCCCCCTGGGAAGCCAGGGTCTCCTTCCTCCCGCCCCCGGCCGCCGCCGCTGCGGGAGCCGCTACCGGAGCCGCCGCCGCCGCCGTCGCGCGCTCCGCCGCCGCGGCCCGGGCAGCACTCGGCGCCGCCGGGATTGCCACACTCCCCAGGTGAGCACGCGGCGCGGGGCGGGGGCCGCCGGCCACGCCCCCTGGCAGGGCCCCCGCGCCTGGCCCCGGGCCCATGCAAAGCAGCGATTTGCATACAGGGAGCTGGGGGCCTCGGGACGGGGCCGGGGAGCAACCGGGGCGGGTCCCGATCCCGCGGAACACCTGTCTGCCCCAACCAGGCGGGGCGGTCCCTCCCCATGGCGCCCGCAGTGGCCCGGACTCCTGGTCCAGCTCGCCCTTTTTAGGAACCCCTGCGGGATATCCAGCCCCAGCCTGAGTTTCCGTCTAAACAGACTCCTAAAGCGTAAGAGCTGCAAGGAATCTGGGGTGTTTGGAGAAGTCGAGGGGGTGTGCAGGAGAGAATTCAGTTTTGCAATCTTACCTCTCAACCACTTACCAGCTGTGCGGCATGGGACAAGGTTCTTCACCTCCCTGAGTTCATTTTACTCATCTGTAAAACGGGACAGGTGCTAATGATAACTGGCATCATATGGGGCTAAGCAGGTGGGCATGCTCACCTAGTCCCCATGGTGTCCTCACAGCATCCGGGCACCTAGCTGGGTCCCAGCTTATTAGCACATTTTCCTGGTGAAGACAACTACTTCTTGCCTGTGCCCCCATCCCCATCCCAGATTGTTGTGATTTTCTCTGAAAGGGTGGATGTGGATGTTATTTACCAGTGCCCATGGGACAGTCACCTTCCAGAGCTGGGAAATGACTTGTTCAAAGGCATACAATTCCCTAGGGACAGGGCCTGGCTGGAATCAGGTATCTGGACTCCCACTCTAGTGCTCTTTATAGCACCCATCATAGACTCATCATCTGAGCCCCTGCTCACCCCTTTCTCCTCCTCTCTTCAGGTCCCAGTAAGTGGTTTTGAGCCCAAGAGACCACCCACATGGAAGCCCAGAAAGCCATGTGCAGGCAAGAAGGCAGGACCTGACCTTCCTTTCCAGATAGGACTCCTTTCACCTTAGTCCCAAGGACTATGTCCTGCTTCCAGAACAGGTCCTGCGCTTTTCTGCCTGTACGCCTTGCTTACACTATTCTTTCCGCCTAGTATGTCCACTATACCATCCACCCCAATGATATTATGTCATCCAGCATTTACTGAGTTTTCACTATGTGCCAGGCTCTGTGCTGACCAACACTTTAAAGGCATCTTTAGTGCCTTTAGGCCTCAATTAGTCTTCATAAAAACCTGTACATTGTACTATTATTATTTCCATTTTCAGATGGGGAAAATGAGGCTTAAAGAGTTTCACTTGCCCATGTTACATAGCCAGTAACTATCAGGGCTCATGTTCTAAAGCACTGTTCTCTACACCCTCTATGCACAATTCAAATGCCCCCTCCTTTCTGAAGTTAGAAGTGATCTTTTACTAAATCGCCATGATACTTCAATGTCCCTAACAGCCTGTGTGGCAGGTTATGCGGCCTTTTCTCAGGCTACCTCCTGGTTGTTAACCTCTGCCACAGGCACCTAGAATGATTCTGGGCACACAACAGGTATCAGGAAGGGTTCAGTGTGTGCCACAGTGGCCCTGGGGGAATAAGAAGTGTTTAGTGCTTCTACAGGTTCATACAAATCACCCTCCCCAGTCACATTGACCTCTCCTCCCCCCAGGCGTGGCAAGAAGGGAGGAGGGGACCTTCTTGTTTGTCTGGCAGGGGGAAGAGATCAGCAAAGGCTTCTTGGAAGACCAATGACCCCAAGGGTCCCTCTCAGAACGCTCTCAGCCTCTGTCCCTTACTTTCTCTTCCCCCTTCTTTCTCTCCTCTCCCCTACTTCAGGTTTGGCCCCTTCCCCAAGGTCCATTTTTTATCTCCAACTGCACTCACCTGCCATCATCCTAGAAAAATGCCTGCACACAGTTTATATACCCCTGTGTGCTTGTGATTTCCATATCTCTATTTGCATATCATTTGCATAGCCATATGCACAGAGGGTCTGATTTTCTGACCACCATATCTGGGACTTGTTGCTCTTTTCTATGTGCAAAGTCACATTTCTTCTCTGGGCTTTAGTTTTCCAAAAGCCAGAAAATCTGTATTTGATGATTTCCAAAGGCCTTCTGGCTCCAGCGGCCTAAGATTCTGAGGTCCCCAGGGGAAAGGGGGAGATGGAGTTCTTGGAGGGGGAAATACTGAAGCAGAGAAAGGACCTTGGAGGTTCACGGTTGAAAACACAGCTTTGGATTCCAAACATGGACTGGGGAGGTGGGAGGATGAAAGGGTGGGAGGGGTGGCAGTGGGGAGAGGGTGGCAGATACTACCTCGTTCATTTATTTACTCATTCAGTAAATATTGATCGAGTGCTTTCTATGTGCTAAGAACTGTGCTACATGCTAAACACATACCATCTTAGCACAACTTTAGATGGAAGATACAATTATTACCCCCCTTTTATAGATGAAGAAACCGAGGTTCAGGGAGGCTAAATGCTGCTAGTAGATGGCAGAGTTAGGATTTAGACCAAGTCTGCCAGATCCCAAAGCCAGTGATTTTAACCTTGCCCTCCAGTTTCTGAATCTGCCCTCCCCTCCCCTTCTCCTAACTTCTGCTATCAGAAAACTTGAGGTAGAAGCACATAGATATAATTCTGAGCCCCTCATATGAGGGACCTGAGGCACACAGAGAGGGGCACTTGCCCTTGCCCCGGGACACAGAGCAAGTAAATTGCTCAGCGTAGAGACCCTTCTACTCTTCTCCACTCCTTCGAATACCCATCCTGGTCTTAGAAGGGGGTGTGTTAGAAGGCTGGGTGGGCTCATGGCATGTGAGTATGGGGGCAGAGAAGGGTGAGCAACTTTCATTCCTTCCCTCTCTGACTTGTTTGCTGGTCAATTTCAATTAGCTGAACTGGAATAAGAGTATAAAAGATCCCCTCCTCCCCCCCGCCAGGACTCATGATCTCCATGAAACCAGCTTTTTGAGTTCTGGACTGGAGAGAGGTGATGGGGAAGGTGCCAATCCCCTGGGCCCGATACTCCATGTCCCTGTTTGCTTAGTAGAGGAAAAGCTGTGGGGAGGAGAGAGAGATAGAGGTTTGCCTGGAGGTTAGAAAGGAACAGAAAAAAGAAAGGGAGAAAGAAGCAAGGACAGGAAATTTCAGTGCCTTTGGACATCAAAAGAACTATATGCAAATGAAATGCAAATAAAATGCAAATTATCTCATCCTCCCTCTTACCCCCCCCTTTCTGGACAGCTGGAGGACTTATTCAGCAAGTAGCCAAAGCCTTACTCCAGGATGCTGTAGTTCTGAAGCTGATCAACTCTGAGCCCTCCTCTGGTCCTCCTGGAGTGACATCTAACCCCCTTGGCTGCACCCCTAGGGAGTCACTAGCTCCCTAGGCTCCATTTCTACTTGAGCATATATCAGCTTCTTTTGTTTGAAGGACAGAGGGCTCTAGGAGCGAAGCCTCCCCTTCTGGACACATTGGCTGGAAATGGCCTACAGCCCTGGAGAGGGTGCTGCAGGGAGGGAGGTGGGCCAAGCCCTGTTCCCCACCTGAGCAGAGAAAAGTGGCCTTCCTGGCTGTAGGCCCTGCTGCTCACTCCCACTTCCTGTCATGTCAGCTGGATTGAGTTGTCAGGGCTGGGAGAAGGGTGGAGAGCTAGGTGTCTTGGAAAGCCACCAAGCAACAAGTCCCTTCTAGCACCTTCCTTTTGCCAGATGAGCCATGGGGCTCAGAGTGTGGGGGTACAGAGTGGGGGGGTACAGAGTGGGGGTCAGCTCCTTGCCTTGGGGTGATCAAAGGGAGTGGATCCCAACTCAGGCTTCCCAAAAAAGCAGATGGAAGCAAAGTAGAGGCCAGGAAGTACTTCCAGGTCTTTTTTTAATCACACCTCAGAGTAAATCTGATAGCAGCATAGCCAGGAGGCATTTGCAGAACAGAGGTGAAGGGGATTAGTGTCAGGGGGCAAAATAGGAGATGTCCCGGGAATGAGGATAAAGCAACTGTGTCTGGAAAGTGGACCGGAGAGGACACTGGAGTCAGGATACAGAGTTGTTCCCTGCCCTGCTATCCCTAAAGCTGACTACCATCCCCCACCAGGGACATCCTGCCCTGCCCAGTACCCAGCCTTTACCCACATTGGGGGAGGGGAAAGTACACACACATTCATTATCCATTTTGCACTTAAAGGTTCAGAATAATAGATAATAACAATATGCATTTAATTTAAAGACAGCATAAGAACAACTGTCTTCCAATCAACCTTTTTGACCTCGAGGCCAGCATTGGGCCTGGGCTGGACCTCTCTAATCCTACCTTCAACAGACCTCTACCTCAGCCAGCCCTTTCCTGGCTCTCCCAGCCTACCTCAGACCAGGTAACCTTCCTGGTCCACCTGCATGCACTCTCAGGGCAAGTCTAGGCTCAGCGCGCCCTCTTGTGGTAACGGGGGCATGTGACCCTGACTTTTGCACTCCTGCTTACAAGAGCCTGAGTCCTCCTCACAGGAGCACCCATCCATGGCTGCGGGAACCACAGTGAGGGCCCAGTTCCAGGCAAGCTGGAGATGTAGAATTTTAGTTACAGAACTCTGTTGGGTCTTCCAGTCCCTGCTCACCATGAAAGGCCAGACGTCACCATGGAACCTTGGTTGGAGTCAGCCAGCTGTGTTCTGCCCAGTCAATGCAGGGAGAGGAGCTCCCAGCCTTGTCGGGCTGTTTGTCCTATTGTCCTGTTGCTGGACAGCTCTGCCAGTTAAAAGGTCCTGCCTCGTATACTGCCACCTGGGGCTGCTGAGCTCCATGCCAACCCTACACCCACGCGTGTTGGGAGATCAGTGGCCATTCATCCCTTCAAAGCTGTATCGAGTACCCACTGGAGCCACTCACTGGGCTAGGAGCTGGAAATGCAACAGACACTGTCCCTCCCCTAGAAAGCTCGCAGTCTGTCGATGCTTGTGGACCAGTGAGCAGCCAAGTCCCTCATCCTGTGGCATGTACTCTAACAGGAGAGCAGAGGGTACCACAGGCACTGGCTGTGGGGTACACCTTACCTGAATTTGGGGACATCAGGAAAGGCTTCTGGGAGGAAAGGAAGTCTAAGCTGAGATCCCAGAGAATAGGGGGAAATCAAAGGGAAGAACCAGCACATGCCAGGCAGGTGCGTGGAACATTCAGGGAGCCCCACGCAGTACAGGCAGGGACTGAGTACAAGAGGTGGACCAGCATGAGTGAGTGACGGGGACAATATTCCTACAGGGAGGACCTTGAAGCTGCCTGAGTTAGGTGGAAATAATTCTCCAGTTTCAGTAACAGGTGACTTGTGACACACATCACAGCTGATTGCAGCACAGCCTTGAATAGCAATTCCAAGGTTGGGGATTGCTGGGGAGGAGGGTGCTGGCGGGAAGTTCCTCTGTGAAGGAGCAGGGAGCAGCAGAGCAAAGGTGGAGAGGGAACGGGGTTTGAGGTATTCTTCATTTCGTTCTTCAGATGGGAAGATCTCAATTGTCTCAGGGCTGTTGGGAAGGAGGCAGGAAAGAGAAATGCAAGAGGAAGAGAGGGGATAGTTTCCCCTGAGAGGCATGGTCCTGAGGAAGGGGGAGGGGCTGGGGTTCAGAGCCCTGGGGCGCGGGAGAAGGGATGCATGCAGGTCGGAGAGTGGCGTGGTGTGGTGTTCCCTCTCCGGCTTCTGCTTTCTGTGACGTAGGAGAGGAGGGAGCTGCGAGCGGAATGGCATTTCACCCTGCCTCTCCCTGCTCGGGAATCAGGACCTTTTCAGAGCCCGACATGCAGCAGGAGCCAGCGCTGGGGAGACAGTCACTCCTCTGGACACCATGCATCCGGTCTCCGCTGGGCCGGCTCCCGAGGTTGCTCTGCCTGTCTTTCCCTTGCTCCACCAGAAGCTCCTGAGGTCCGGCCCTTCTCCGCTGAGTCCCTGCCTGCCAAGGGAGCCTGCACTTGTCACCTTGCTTCTGTCTTCTTCCCTGCCCCTGTCCATCCTTCTGGGTCCCCAGCATAGTTATCAGTCAGGGTCTCTCTCCACAGGAAAACAGAGTCAACTCAGCTGTGTGCCTATAACGAAAGTGACGGAGGTGCAGCAGGCTTGCGGGGACCATCGGCCAGAGAGGAGCAACGCAGGGAAGCCAGGGCTGAGGAGGTGGGGGAGGCAGAGCGACGGAGCCCCGGGACAGCTGGGCCTTGGAGGAACAAAGCCAGTGCGGCAGGTGTGGTGCTGCGCAGCGGGTTGCAGGTAGCACATGCACTCTGCACTCTCGCCCCGTCCTCCCATCTGCGGGCGCTTCTCATTGGCTGAAGCTAGAGGGTTACTCCACCCACCTTGCCCAGGTCCAGTGAAAACCCTGGGACAGGGGTCCCCCAACTGTGGGGTCCCACAGTTCCCCTCCTAGGGCCTCCCGTGGCTAGCAAGACTGCAGGGAGAAAGTCCCCAGCAAGGCCCAGCCCAGCCTGAGTGAGGCTGCCGGGGGGGCCTGGCACGGCTCTTCTCCTCTCTGGCTTCAAGAGGCACTGGTGAGGCTTAGGTTCGGGTCTTCCTCGAGGGCACCTTGCTTTCCTTGGCAAAGGGGACCAATCAGGAGCATGTTCCTGCCAACTCTGCTCCCAGGGCAGCTTTGGACACTCTCTTCCCCCACATATTCAGTGCTTGCTACTGCGGGGACTGGCCCAGCCGGTGCTCCGCACACCACACTGCTCACCCTGCCCAAACCTGGGGGCCCCTCCTGCAGGTGAGCTGTGCTCTCTGAGGCTCAAGCTGGCCAACGTGTTAAAACCATCTGGGTTAGGAGGTGGCCTGGGGGAAGGAGGTGGCATGTGGGAAGAAGGTGGCATGGGGGAAGAAAGCTTGGGGTTGGATCCCAGCCCTGTTCTGGCGAGCTATCCAAACTTGGGCAAGGCACACACTTTTCTAGGTGAGCCACATTCATAAAATGTTACAGAATCGCTACAAGGAGCCAATGGGCTGACTTGCGTGAAGGCGCTTTGTAAGCCCCAAAGCCCGCAGAGGAAGGAGTACGGATATGACCCCTCCCAGGTGTTCTAACATGGCCATGACGGCCTCTTAAGGATAGGAAAGGCTTATCTCAGTGTTTCCCAAATAGCTGCCCATCTACATCTATTTTAACAAGCTCCCAAGTGATGCTGGTGCACACTAAAACTCGAGAATCTTGGCAGAGAAGTAACCATCACAGAATTTCAGGTGTGGTGACAGAGTGGGGTTGAGGGGGTTGGGAGAAGGGTGGTCTATCACGGCCCGTGGCATGTGGTCCCCTGGGGGGCATGTACTTTGCAGAGTGTAAGGTCAGCCTCAAAATATCAGGGAAGCTTAATTCTCCTCCCCATCACCCTAGACCAGAAGGGGCCCACGGCAGGGATGTCTAGTGATGGTGTCCAGAGCCCCCTCACTGCAGGGGACAGACAGGCTGGGAGGTGCGAGTCAAGGAAGGTCAGAAAAACACTCCAAGTCTTGAAAACACTGCTCTTTCAAAAAGCATTATTTGGGGTTATTTGGAAGTCAGTAGGGAAGGTATATGGATTTGGGGACTCTATGCCCAGCAGTAAAGGCACACATGTAGGATGGGAGGTGCCTTCTCTGAGAATCCCCACCCCCACCCGGAGTTGCAGCTGGGGCTCAGGACTGAGGTTCCAGATTGGGCAGGAGGGGAAGGAGAAACGGCCAGGGGCAGGGGAGGGACACCTCCCTCCTTGATCCCCCAGCAAGGCTGAAGCTGGTCCATGAAAACAGGTTCAGAAAGGAGACATGGCCACCTGAAAATGACATCTCCCAAGACCCTCAGCTTGACCAACACCAAACAAGCCCAGCTCCCCCCACCCTCTGGCCTGCACAGGTTCAAGGGACAGCAGCAGCCTGTTCTGGAGTACTGGGGGCAGAGTAAACCCTGCAAACCCCTTCCCTCTCCAAGGTCTTTGAGGAAGGATGTGACTCTTCCCATTTGCTCCCTCCTAAGAAAAGGGTGCCCTATGGGACCCACAAGACTTTCCCAGCCCCTGAAACACTGCTGCCTCCCCCTTACCAAGCTGTTACCGTCTTTCAGCCTCAGCCCCTACCCCATCCCTTCCAGGAAGGCTTCCCCAATAAATACAGCCTGCACATCCCTCCTCAAACCCTACGCACCCTCCCAGCACTTCCTGTTACAGCCTCTTTATGCTGGAAGACACTTTGGAAGTGAAGAGCCTTCCAGATGTCTGATTTAGTTGTCTCTGGTTTATAGACGTGGCAATGTCAGCTTTTTTCACTAACTAACGATATCGACACTGGCTAACACAGCGAGCTCTCACTGTGTACTAGGTACTTGACATGCAAGAATTCACTTAAGTCTCACAAGGGAGCTCATTTTATAGATGAGGGAGCCGAGGCACAGACAGGTAAAGTAACTTGGCCCAGGACTGCACAGCGACTAAGCAGCAGGGCCTGGATCTGACGCTGGAAGTCTCATTCCAGTCGTGATCTCATCTCTTGCCTTAGAGCTGGCTTATTACGGTTGCGTCTATGTCTTCTTCAGTGCAGACGTTTTACTTTATCCTTCCCTAGTAACACCCCTCCCGTGCCTCCCCTTTCCCTGCCCTCCCCCAGATGGCTGAGCACACAGTAGGTGCTTTAGAAGTTGTTGTGCCAAGATAGGTCATGGGGACATTTCCGACACCAGGTGGCAGCATTGGCTAAAAGTTCTCTCCAAACTCCAGGTCTAGTGTTGTCAAGTAAAAACTTAAAAACTTTTATTTCTGGTACAAATGATAAATACTTTGCATTAAAAATCTGGAATTCAAGTTTTCCTCATACTTCATGCTCCCTCCCCACCCCAGAAGCTTACAAAAATATTTCTGTTAGGAGGGGAAAGAGCTGGTGCCTGCTCTAGAGGCGAAGTTCAGGTCTGGGGCAAGGCACAGTGGAGTGTCTCAGTGGCGGGAGGGCTCCACCTGCCCCATAGGCGGCTGTGGCCAGGGCAGAAATGAGAAGAATGTGCCATAATGTGGTACAGGGGCTGTGTCCCCAACAGCTCCCTCTTGGGGGGTGAAGATCCCCTCATTGCTGGGGGGAAGGAAGGTGCAGAGGGGCCAGCTCCTTCCAGATGTGTGGGGAGGTGGGCGCAACAGGCCTAGCCTCCTTTTAGGGTCTACACCTTGAAAGAGCTCTGCAGAAGAATCATGGCCACCACATCCCGGCTGCTTGAAAGTGAACACTTCGGGGGAGATGAAGGAGGGGAGGGGTGCCAGTTTGGAGAGCCCCTTTCTCCCTCTCTGCCCCCAGGGAAGGCACAGGGTGGCAGTGGGGGCTGCCTTCATGAGTGACCCCCTGCTAGGCCACACCCATTTCACAGTTGAGGCAGATGGGGCCAGAGGGGCTCCCAAGGGCTCCGGCCAGGGCAGTGGGGAGGAGGAAATAAGGCCTCAGGAGTGGTCACCACCCTCTAGTGGCTGGGGGAGGAGCGGCGGGCCCAGAACAGCCACCTCCAGGCCCACCCCGTACCCAGCCCAGCTAGGGGTCCTCATCCCAGAGACACAGCTGCCTCTGGGGCACGTAGAAGTCAAAGCTGTAGCTCTTCTGGCAGCTGCGGATGCCGCACTTGTAGGGCGCAGGCCGGTCGCGGCTGTGGCAGTACTTGAGCATGCAGGGGTACCAGGCGAGGCTCAGGCCGTAGTGGCAGACACAGGGCTTCCCGCGGTCTGCTACCTGCCTGCAGCGAGGCAGGTCCGCCTGCTCCAAGGCCTTGGGCAGAGCCTCAAACACGGAGCTGTCCACACCTGGGGAGAGAGGCAAGGATCAGGCGGGGATGGAGGGAGGGAGCCGTCCCCTGCTTGGCCTCCTGAGTCGTTCAACAGGCATTTATAGACACCTCGTCCCCACGGCTGCCACAAGGACACGGAGCTAAGACCTGGGTGCCAGGCTCCTTGCTAGGCTAGAGGAAGAAACAGATTAAATGACAATGACCTTCATCCATCCGTGGACTCTACATGCAGTACCTCTGTCACCCCGTGAGATACTGTCATCCCAGTTTTAGTGATGCAAAAGTGGCCCAGAGAGGTTTGATGATCTGGCTGAGGTTACACACAGCAAGAGTGGAGTCAGGACTGGAACTCAGCTCTGTCTGACTTCAAGGCCTCTGCTCAGCCACGCTGCGACCCAACACTTTGAAAACATCACATGCTGGCGTGTGTTGAAATAGAAGCGTGAGGAGATGGGGTAGGAAATCAAAGAAGCCTTCTTTTAAAAAAGGTGGTATTTGAGTAGGGCCAGGAGGGGAAGGGACAGCACAAACATGCCCACAGAGGGGGCGGTCAGGGTGGCAAGGGCGCGGGGTGGACGGGAGAGTGTGCACGTGTGGGGTGCTGGCAGGGACCTGGCTGGTGTGGCTCAGTGGCTGTGGGAAGGACCCGCTTTTGGGGGTCTATCAAACCTGCACCCTGGTGTGGGTGCAGGTCACCGGGGAGGGTAGTGTGGAGGGCATGACTGCAGCTCCGCTGGGCATTTCTAAATCCAGCCCTGCCCTGGAAGGCACAGGCGTTTCTCCAGTGCTCAGGAGGCTGGGCAGAAGGACCAGGGCCTGCAGCTGGAATGGTGACTTATCCCTGTCCCCTCTACACAGAGGACCTGACGGCGGTCCTGGGAAAGGCACCCAGAGATGGGCCAGCACGGAAGTCACAGGTGTGAGGAAGGCAAGGACCACACAGAGTTGGGAGGATTCCTGAGGATCCTGGGGAGAGATGCTGGCAGCTGGCACGAGGGACAGCGTGGAGCTGATTTCTGAGAGGTGGCAGCAGAGGTGGGCAGTGGGGAATGGGTGCCTGTGTCCTGCTCCCACGACAGAAGGTCCCATCTCTGTGTCCTCACTAAGGGCAGGGGACAAGGGGAAGTGTCTAGGACTGTCCTGCACAGGGCCTAGCAGAGTCTATGTGTCCCTGCCTGCAATGGGTCCCTTTCCTCTGGCCGACTCTTCTCATCGAATAGCCACATAGGTCCCACTTCCTCCAGGAAGCCTTCCCTGACCAATCGCAGCCTGGTTTAGGGTCCCTCCCCTGAATGCCCTCATCTCATCACTGTACTCCACCATGTTTCACTCTACAGACCTGGGAGGTTCTGGAGGCGGCTCTTGGAGGACAGGGACTGGGTGTCTACCTCTCCGATTCCCATGTCAGTACACCTCTGCAGGTGCTCAATGAATGCCTCCTGAATGAAAGAGCCACTCAACTATGACCCCCCTCCCCTCCTCTTCCCTCTGCCCAGCAGCAACTGTGCCCAGCACCCACTGACCTTGCCCCAGCCAGAACTGGACATCCTCCTGGCGGGTGTAGATGGCATCCACAGCCTCGGCACACACATTGTGGAGATGGGGGCTCAGCAGGCCCCCCTGGCTGAAGTTGACGGCGATGTCCATGTACAGCTGCTCCAGGCCTCGAACCTCCTCGGCCTGCCGCACTGCCCGTGGGTTTTTCTGTGTGCAGGAGAGGAGCCACTCCTACCGGCCTCAGAGTGCTCCCTGCCCGTCTGCCCCTGACCCCTGATCTCTCCAAGATCCAGGGAACAGAGTCTCTCTGGGAAGGGCAGGCAAAGGGGTTGGGGGAGGGCCCCAGGGCAGGCCCTGCTGGACAGGGTAGGGGGCTCAGATGAGGCTGGGGAGAGGCCCAGGGTCTAGGAAGGGACCGGGAACAGGTCAGCAGGTTTAAGGGTTTTGAACATTATACTGAACACTTTCCATACGTCATCTCATTGAATTCTCTCTATACCTATTTTCTCAATAAGAAAATCGAGGCTTTGAAGGCGAGGTAACTTGTCCAACGTCAGCTGGTTAATGAGTGATGGAGGAGATGCGGTGTCCGGTGCCCTAACCTCCACTCTAAATGGCTGGGAGCTGGGACCAGGGGACTGGAGAAATCTGAAGGGCTGGGAGTTCAGTTAGAGATCTGGGGCTATAGGGTCAGGTTTAGCCTGCAGCAAAATCAGAGGGTTCAGGACTCCTGGGGTAAGTGGGTGCCAGGGCTGAGGGCTAAGGTGGGGCAGGGGTGACAGGCCTATGAACAGCGTGAGGATGAGGAGCTGGGTGGGGCCAGGCTTGGGGCCAGGCTGGTAACAGGGGTCAGGGGCCGGGGCAGGCCTGGGGCAGGCACTCACCTGCCGAAGCTTGGCCATGGCCTCACTGGGGATGATCTCATTGTGGTGCAGACGGGTGACAAAGCAGAGGGCCTGGAACTGACTCTGTCCCTTTTCCAGCTCCCCCAGGATCAGGGCTCGGAAGATCTTCACATCCTGAAGGAGAAGGGCAGGAGGACGGGAGACCAGCTGGAGGGAGCAGGTCTTCCCTGCCAGCCGGCCGGCCGGGTGCCCAGCCTGGATGCTGTCTGGCAATCCACACCTCCCTCCCGCTGGTCTAGGAATTTTTATCTTTTCTATTTAAACCCCTGACTTAAAAGAACACACCACAGGTGTTCCAAAGCCTCCTAGAAAAGTAAGTGATAAAATGGAGAATTTTTCAAAAGAGAACCCTTCAGAAGTAGGAAGCTTCACCTTGAAGGAAACAGCACCTCTTTTGGCAGCTTGTTTGTTCATAGCTGACGATTCCCCTGGGTGGAGCCCCCTGATGTCACCTTCATATGGTGGGGGGAGGCTGTGGGCCTCTACAACCGCCTGGGCAGCGTGTGGTGCTGGAGGGGCTGCGTTCGCAAGTCTTTAAGTCCCTCTCTGACATTTTGACTCAGTATGTTTGGGGAAAGGCCTCGAGATCCGCTGGTGCTTCTGCAGCCAGGCCCCTGGCCGCCCACCTCCGGCTGCCTGGGCTAGTGGGGGCAGGATGGGCCAAGGGCAGGGGCAGCAGGCTGGCTGCAGCTGTTGCCTCCTTCTGGGGGCTGGATGGCTCAGTTTCCCCTTTTCCTCCCCACTTCTCCTTCCCCTGTGGGGTTACTAATGGCAGTGACCGAAGCCCAAGGGCTTCTTCCTGTTACTGACTCACCGCGTGATGGGGGAATTGTGACGGGGGCAGAGGGAGAAGGGCCCAGGGTGGGATGGGGCCCTTTCCCAATCTGGGGGCTGGAACCCTGTGCTCCACCCACCTGCACTGCTCACCACGGCCCCACCACACCAGAAGTGCCCCCTACCTTCTCGCCCATCTCTGTGCCTTGACTAACTCTGTTCCCAGTGATAAGTTAGCGTCTGAATCTGTCAAGAGCTCTCCCACCATGGAGGCACCCTGGCCTCAGTGACTGTTGTCTCCTGGGGAACCCCAAGGCTGCCCTGGCACTTAGAATATGCAGCACTGTGTATCTATTCAGCTATCAGTGCATGTGCCCCCGCCCTGCCCCCCTAAGAGAGCCCCCATTCTACTGTGCACCTGCTAGAGTGGGAGGGCCTTTGAGAACAGGGTCTGAATGTCCCCCTTAGAGTCTAGAGACAGGCAGCGAGCGGTCCATGGCTCCACTGCAAAGCTGCGATGTATTAGCTGGTGCCCTGCTTTCCCCAACTTCTCTCCTTTGTAAAATAGGGCTGATTCCTCATTTCCCTGATAGGCTTGTGGTGAGGACTAGGTAGGTTATTTGGAAGAATGTTCACACAGAGCTCAGTAAGTGCTAGCTGTGATGACTGTTGTAGGTGATCAGCTACACATGACTGCCTGTCATCTCAAACCCCCGTGTATTTCTACAGTCCTTTAACTCTACAAGGAAGTTTCTCTTGCTTCCTTTTGCTGTAAATGATCTCTGGAATAATGTGATGTGGGAGTGTATGGGGAGATTTTCCAGAAAGGGAAACTGAGGCCAAGCTAGTGAGAAAGATTCCACTGGGTTCTTTATGATCCCAGAGACTAGTGAGGAAGGTGAATCAGAGCTCGTGTTAACCTCGCTTCCTCTCAATAGGAAATCCCTTCTCGGGTCACGATGCTGGAATCTCCTTGTCCCGCCAGCCTGGGCTATCTGATCTTTCACTCAGGCTGGCTGAGGGGAGTTGGGGGGCTGGTCTGCTTGTAGCATATTCCATTCCGGGCTCAGTTCCTGTCAGGTGAGACTTGATACCAGACTTCCCCTGCTAGAGCTTGAGTCAGGCGATGTCCCTGGCAGGATCCCACAGGCCGAATTCAAAACCCAATTCCCTGGTATTTCAGCTCTGAGGCTTTGGGAAGAACCTTCTCTGCGTATTCACAGCATCTTCTATGACACCACTGGCACATGCAATACCCTGCAGTCTCAGGGCTGCTGAGGGGTCTCACCACTTGGTGACATCACCTGCCTACCATTAGCAGGAGAAGGTATCTGAACTTTTAAACCAGACCAGAGGGTGAAAGGAATCTGAGCTTTTTCCCTGCTTCTGTTAACATATTAAATAATAATGACAATGACAACAACAAAATGCTACCGAAATGGGAAACTGACTGCGGGGCGCAGAAAGGTACTGAGAATTTCTCATTGAGATAGAAGATTTCCTCTGTATCTCCTATCTGTGTAGGACCAAGAGTTATTGAAGCTTCTAACCAGAAGAGACAAATTATTGTTATCATGGGTCCAAAAGAATGTGTGATCCTATTTAAGATCCTGGCGACAACAGGAGGTAGGAACTATGATTGTTACTGAGCTTGGATTGGGTAACTTGTTCAAGGTCACGGACTAAGAAGAAACACAGCCGGGATTTTAACGCCGGCAGGTCTCACTCAAAGCCTGAGCCTTCGTAACCAGAATGCACAACTGTCTTCTAGATCAACTAGTCTAATTCCCTTGATGTTCAGCTAAAGAAACTGGGACTCAGGCACATAGACAGAATGTGGCCTGCCCGTGGCCCCCTGCTAGCCAGTGGCAGAGGCAGGATTAGAACTTGGTTCCCTTTTTTAACCATGCCTGTCTGGTGGCAGTCTGCCTGTGAGTCCTCTGTATACCTGCCCTGAGAATGTGGCAGCTCCAACTCATGTTCCTGTGACTAACAACCCGCATGACACAAATAAGGGAAGATGAAGGAAGGACCCTTCTAACCCGCCTGCCTGCCTTGCCAAGAGCCTCTCTAATGCTCCAGTCTTTTCGTCACATTTCTCCAGAAAACCATATCCCACTTCCTGACCCGAGAGCGACCCCTAGTTTCTGGATCTAACTATTTGGTAACAGGGATCCATCGTCCTGACCATGTTCCTCCAACTAACTTTCCACTCCCTGTACCTCGGACTCACTAGAAAGGTTCCAGGACCCCCTTTTCCTCCAACCTTCACAGGGCAGGGAACATCTGGCCAGATGCTAAGTCCAGGCCAGATGGAAGCCTGGCTCCCAGACCTCCTCCTTGCCCAGGAGTCCCTTGGGATGATTCCCTGACGTGGCCTAGAGCCCATGCTCTAGCCCATGGCACAGCTGGGGAAGAACCAATGGCAGGGAGTGCAGGCAGCTTCTCAGGCTGAGACTCAGCTAGGACGCCCAGACGGGAGGTTTCTACAAGGCTCCTTCTCCCATGAGCTCCCAGGAACCTTCCACCCACTAGGAGCAGCCCACCAGAGGAACCGGAGCACACAGCAACCAGAGGGTGTGGCAAGTGTACTATAGTGTTTGCTAAAGTTCTTGTCTGCAGCTGTGAGTGAGCAGTAAGTAAGGAGTAGTCTCTAGGATAGCACAGTCGTTAAGAACAAGGGCTCTGGACCCAGTATTACCTGCATTCAGATCCTGGCTTTGCCACTACAAGCCATATAACCTTGGGGGAATTTACTTAACCTCTCTGTACCTTACTTTCCACATCTGCAAAATGAGTTAACCAACAGTACCTACCTTGAGGGACTGTTGGGAGGAAGAAATGAGTGAAAGGTCTCAGAACATAGTGGGCTGAACTCTCGGTTTCTCTCCTATTGCTGCAATGTCTGACTCTGTGTTTGCCTTGCTCCAACTGGAGTCTACTCCAGACCAAAGAGGCAGGAGCAAAGATTTTTCTCCTACAGATGCACCTGAGGCCCAGATAGGTCGGGTGACTCCTCTGGGGCTTGCAGGTAATCGGCCAATCAGTAGGAGAGCACTGGCTGGCATTACTGGGAGGCTGGGCCTTCGCAAGCACTGGGCTGGGCAGGGGGTTGGCCAAAGCTAAGACAAAGGCCCCTGTCCTCAAGTGGCTCACAGGGAAGGCTGACTTCCGACAACCAAAGTCAGCGCATCACAACAGGGCCTTGAGCTGTCCTTTATGCTAAGTGCTACGGAGACCAAGGATGGATGAGGAAGCACTTGTCCCTTAAGGATGGGGCTGGGGGTGGAGTGATGGAGGGAAGACCTCCCAGAGTGAGGGACATTTCAGTGGTCCTTGACAGTTAAAGGATAGAGGGCTTTCCAGCAAAGAGAGAGGCATTTACAGAAGGCGGAGGCATGAGGGTCTCCTAAAGCCCCCATCCAATCATCCCTCCACGGTACTGTCATCCGACGACCTCATGCCCTTCAAGGGCTCCCTCTGTCCTCATCATAAAGTGTACCCCCAGAGCTTGGCACCCCAGGTCCCTGCCCACAGCAACTCTTGCACTCCCCATGCACTGAACCGAAGAGCCTGCAGTTCCTGAAAGGAGAGACGCCATGTCTCCCCTTGTGCCTTTCCATGAGCCAAATCCCCTGCTGGGATGCCTTGTGCCCATCCATCTACTATCCTTCAGGGCTCGGTTCCCACGTACCCCTCCTCTGGCTGTCCTCCCCATCCCTCCCACAGAGGTGGCCTGTCCCAGCCACAGCTTCTAGAGCAGTAGTCCCCAGCCTTTTTGGCACCAGGGACCAGTTTCATGGAAGACAATTTTTCCATGGACGAGGGTTGGGGTGTCATGGGCAGGGGGGAGGGGTGTTGTGCAGAGTTCAGGCAATGATGTGCAACCTGTTTCCTAACAGGCCATGGACAGGTACCGGGCTGTGGCCCGGGGACTGGGGACCACAGCTCTAGAGCACGAATCCCACTGTGTTCACAATGATCTTTTTACTTGTCTTTCCTTCCCAACTTGAGCCCTTGAGGCTGGGATAGTGTCTTATTTGCAATGTATCCCTGCCCCCCTCCATCACAGCAGGTGCTCCATAAATGCCTGATAATGAATAAACAGAGGAAGAGGGAACCAACAAGAGCATGGAAGGTTTTTTCTGAGAAAAGGGATAGGAATGTAGCAGGGGAGGGACGCAGAAGAAGGCAGTGAGTGGCTGAATAAAAGGCTGGCAAGAGAGCCAGGACACAGCAGGACACAGGGCCTGAGTGCCCAGCCTAAGGAGTCTGAGCTTCATCTTGCACATCACCGGAAGTCATCGTGGGTTGGAGCCTGCGGTGACATGAACAGATCT